GGAGAGAGAGAGAGAGAGAGCCAGAAAAGTTTCTTTTCTTTAAGATGTCTCAAGTTCTTATTCCTCATTCATCAACGTGCAAACAATATCTTTCCCCGGCGCTGGCATCTCTGCGCGTCGCCCTCTCTTCCCCCGTGACGATTTCTGTTCCTCTCTTAATTTACCGTGCAGACTAATCCCACTTCCATTCACGCTATGTCAACCATCTAATCCCCCCTTTTTGTAAGGGGAATTCCTCGGCCCCTTTTAAACAAGTCCCCTCCGCATTGAGCTACAATTTACTGCTACAGCATTCTTCCAGGGCTAATGAATTTAGAATTAGCAATTTCTTTCGAATGGAACCGAATGAATGCTATCACTTTAACAGCGTGACAAATTGCCGGCCGCGCCGCAATGGACACCGTTTAACCCCCCCGCTTTCAGCCGGCCCGCTCGCCGGCTATTTTCCCAGGTAGCTTAGAGGGGAACCTTGTAAGACACGGAGGCCGCCCCTGTGCGCCTCGCCGCCCCTACTCCGGCTGCCAGGCCGGACAGGGGGACCCCCAGGGGGCCGGGGCCCGCCCGTTCTTTCCCGCCCAGAGAGGCGACTTCAGGGCTCGCCCAGGTTCCCGGCGCCGCCCTTTCTGGCACCCCGGATCCTGGGCGCCGAGGGGGACCGAGGCGGGCCCGGGGTCACACAGAGAGCGCCGGAGGCTGCCCGCCGCAGCCCACGTTCCTTTTGAGCTTCGGCCGCCCCCCAACCCCCGCCGCGCCGCAGCCTGAGGTCTCTTCCCAGCGCCGTAGCCAGCCGGCGCCCAGGCGCAGCGCCTCCCGCACCCCGGAAAAGACTCAGAGCTCCTGGCCGCAACCGGGATCCTTCGACAGCGCCCTGTGTTCAGTGCAGGGAGGCGCAGTGAGCGCTGAGCGTCCCGCGGAAGGAAGGTCTCAGCTTGGCTATCACCTCCTCCTGGGAGCTGGCCTCAGTTTACACATTTGTAAAACCGCGTGCTGCGGAGGGCACAGTCGTTCTTAAACTCTTCCAGGGTGGGGGGGCAGGGACGTTGTGGATGCTTTGAGAATTAGTGGAGAGACCAAATAAATAAAAATAATAAAAGCCCCTAGAAATGAGCCCCAAAGCACCTCTTGCTTCCGAGGGCACAGAGGATCCCCCGGTTGCAAACGGAGGAGATTCCTGCACTGAGCACCCCGCCA